GACTGTCCGTACGGTATCTGTGACTGGACAAACGACCCAACAGAATGGCCAGAGGTGTCGTTTCCCAACATTTTTTTGTTACCTAATTGAGCAAGAGACAGCTTAGGCTACTTCAAGCCTATACGAGACGGCTTGTGAAAGTAAACATTTGTCGTTTTGTTTTGCTTAATTTTAATAAAGTGAAAAAGACTTGAGTAAAAGCCTGTCGTACTTTCTTATTGATATATTAAAAAGTTTTTTTAACATTGACTAAACAGGTAACATAAGGTCCGCTGAAGTGCCTTGAAATGCGCAGCGTTATTCTATGTGGTGTGTGCTGCGGCTGCCTAATCATTTTCACAAATACATGCCGTAAAATAAAGATAACATGAAAATATGTATATAAAATACCAAAAAACATGGCTATTGGTTACTATTGTTAAACCATGGTAAAAACAACATGTTTTACTACACTAACCATAGTTTAACCATGGTATTTGTAGTAAAACTGTGGTTATAGGCTACAATTGGTAATAAAAACGCCAAAAAACAAACCATGGTTAGCCTACTATACTTTTACTATAGTAATACCATTGCTAATTTCGGGACTAACAACAGATCATTGCAGTGTATCAGTCATATACATCGTCAGATCAGGTTTTTTAACTTATTAGAGGTACAGAACGCCACACAGCAACTTTTCGGCACTGCACCAAGCAAAAATCAATCGAAATCATCACAAAAAGTAAAGATCAAGCATCTAACAAGGTCTCCGCGCGTTAATTCGAATGGTTTGTTTTCCCCCTCGGCATAAACGGTTATGACGTTTTTGTGGGTGTTCCCAGCAATGCCGAACAAGTCTATTGCAAGTTTATATCTCGCAATTCAGACTTTTTTTTCTCAGATTTGCGACTTTATTTCTCAAAATATTGAGTTTCTATCATGCGATTGCGAGAAAAAAAAAAGTCAGAATTGTGAGACAAATCACAATTACCTTGTTTTATGTTTTATTCAGTTGCGGAAACGGGCTTCCATACGAAGACCACTGGTGTGGCAGAAGCCAATAAAACAATCATTCATCCACCAAATTAATCAAATCAAGCTCTCACAAGTAGCAGTATTATTCATACTTTTTATTATTATAGCCTTATATAATGGTACAAGAAAATATGGTCTGGTCAAGTTTTGTGAATAATTAAGCATTTATAATTAAGTTGTTAATCCCCCCCCACAGATTATTAGTTTGTTGCTTAAAATGAATATATAAAATGAAAAACAACTAAATTAAGTAAGCTTCTCATGAGCATTAGAAAGCTTTGTTTTGCCCAAAAGGTGATATTTCATACTCAAGCTTCATTAATAACTCAGGTTCATCATGCGCAGACTGCAGCTGGATGGACTTATGAATAAAGTCTGAGCGCTGGAATGTGCTGCTCACTGAGCTTCTCCTTATGTTCGCTAGCTTGTTTCAAAGCCTGACATCACCCTATTAATGACCACTGGGCAAGACCAGAAGAGCTCTTATTTTTAGCCGTGAGCTCATAAGAAGACCCCAAAAGCGCCCTGAGGGAAACCCCCAGCAACACGGGACTCCAGCACACGGGCCGGGTTTTATTTTGAGCGCTCACAGACAGCTTGGGATGCTTGCGGCCTCTGCCACATGCTAGTACAACACACATTACTCCACATACGCACTCTTAAGTAGGTCATTTGCATGAGCAAGCCTCAAAAATGTACTCTAAACTATCACACGAGTATAAAGAGTTGAAGAGATTACTTGAAGACGGTGCATTTTTGTGAGAACAAGTGATCTACAGCAGACTTTCTTCTAGTCCTGTAGGTTTCATGTACGAATCAATCGAAACTTGCCCATGGTAAAATAATTAAAGGGGTCATATGACGTTGCTAAAAAATAACATAATTTTGTGTATTTGGTGTAATGAAATGTGTTTATGTGGTTTAAGGTAAAAAAAAAAACAAAACATTATTGTTTCTCCTCTATGCCCCGCCTTTCTGAAACACGTCGATTTTTACAAAGCTCATCGGTCTGAAAAGCGAGGTGTGCTCTGATTGGCCAGCTATCCAGTGCGTTGTGATTGGCCGAATACCTCAAGCGTGTGACGGAAATGTTACGCCCCTCACCATACTGTGATGCCGT